GTATCTTATTGGAATAAGCAAGGAAAATTCCAAAAATAGATTCTCTCTAGCTAGATACTAGGAACGTCAATTAGAGTCACAATAATGGACTGAGCTGACAAATGCTAAGTACAAGAAATATTTTTGTGTTTCTTTAATTGAAAATAATTCAACTTTAAATTTTTCATTTTATCTGTTTTATCCTTAATGAGAAAATTTTATAACCATACAAATATCATGACCCCATAAAGCTTTTAAGATCATAAGTTTTAAAAGTCTTCCCTTTTTCTCTTAAACTCCTTGTTGAGTCACTCTACCTTATCTAAATTGATATAGAGGGAGTAGTACTGTTACCTTTGTCATGACTTCATCTTTTCTATTTGTTTTATAGCTTTTGTTTTACAGCTTTGGAGTATCGGTAAAATTATTTTCGTATGACTTTTAGGTCATAAGTTTGAGTAGTGGAGCAACCACTAATGCTTGCATTAAGTGTAGGTTACCTGCATCATATGCTTATAAGTATGATTCTTCCCCAAACCCTATGCGAATATCAAACACTTTGTACATCGGATTTGCCTTCAAGTTAGCAATGGCCTTATCCTTAATTTATATTTTAGTACAAGAGCATGACCATTCATGGTCAATTTATCATTTTGATGACCTATAGCCAATTAAAATAATCAAAATTGTTGTAGGATGCGACAAGAGACAAACGTACAAGTATGGGTCTATTTATGTCACCATCTGAAAAGTTCATATGAAATAAATAAAAGGAAAAAATTTTCAACGTCAAATTTAATTAAGAAAATGAAGTATTGAAGGAGTAAATGAAACTTTTTTTTTATTTAAACCGACTTACCCTAGCTATCAAGACATTTTGAGTAGACTTTTTATGCAATCGATTACTAAGCATCAATTTGATAACATGAGCTCAACAAGTTTTTGGTAAGTAAATTTTTATTTCACAAAATGAACTCAACAAGTTTGATATAAGGAAATATTGCACCCCATAATAGTCATAAATCTTCTAAGAAAATCAGTAACTTGTCGACATGACATATTTAATGTAACGATGGAATATATAATACGGTCCAACCTCTCTATAACAGTCATCGTCTATAATATTAATACTTTATTTTAACAACTAAATTTTTTCATGTTAAATTACAATATATGTCTTATATAACAACACTCCACATAGAAGCAAAAAATAAAGTGTTATAGAGAGGTTTAACCGTAGGTTACGACTCATAACATAGGTTTCAAACATGTCCAACATACTTTTGGCACTAGGCGATTATACTAAGATGTTGTGTTGTTCTATGACGAAGTACAAGTGTTGCGACTCAACCCGAAACAAGTTGTATTTTTACAAAAAATACAGATACAGTCAAATTTCTCTATAACAGTCATATAAGTTTTTATTATAATGGCCAAACTTTTTTCGGAATCGTTTTTTATATTATACTATAATATACATGCTATATGACATTATTTTACCATAGCAACCAAAAAAATAACAAATAAGACTATTATAGAGATTGTGTAATAAGTTGGAGTGGGAGGAGTAGTGACGTACCAAGAGATAAATAGCAGAGGCAATCAAGAAAGTCCAATAACGTCCAAGAAAAGCGTCAGCAAAGTAGGCGCCCAAGATAGGGGTCATCCAAATTGTGCCCACCCAATTTGTCACATTGTTTGAAGATTTCACTGTGCCTTGGTGCAGTTTCTCAGTTAAGTATATTACCAAGTTTGATGATATTCCATAATATGCCATACGTTCGAACACTTCATAAACTGCAATATTCAACTTAAAAGTAAGTCAATTAAGAGAATTGTTAAACTATTTAAATGAAGGTAGACGAGAAAGTAAGGAGACAAACTGTTTAATATGTTCAGATGTGGACTCAGGATTTTAACGTGATAGGGGCATAGTATTCTGCTTAATCAGAATTCCGTAAAAGCTTTTAGTGTTGTTCAGAGTGTCGAGTGACCTAAATTAATTATTTTTAAAGCATATACATACTAAATTCCTGCCAAAATTTACGGAGTACCCTCGTGACCCCCTCAATATTTCACATTAAGTTTGCCTCTGGATATGATAGGTAGCTTTAGTAATGAGCTCCTTAGTCTTTGGTTGTTTAACTCATTATGGTTGAGTTGGTTGGGAGACTTGGGTTGGTGCGACTCAAAAGATATGGAACAAAACAGTCCAAATTACATACCCAAAGAATGGAGAAATTAAAGCATATCTGAGTATCATTAAAGCATATCTGAGTAAATCTGAAACATGGTAATTCGGTGCACAAAATATTTCAGAAAGAACTGTACCCAAAAAATGTGGCATAGACGGTGCCTGACATTAGAGTAAACTACCTTTAGGATAATCCCAATTTTGAATGCATTTTCTTGGAATTGGGTATGAAGAGAGTCTTTCTTTATTTAGAATATGGATTCCACAGTTACGTACTCAGTGGTGGACCCAAGTGGTGGCTGGCGGGTTTAACTGAACCCGCTTCACCAAAAAAATAATACCGTGTATATGTATAAATTAGGATTAAAGCTGTATAAATTTTATATAAATATTTATTTGAACCCACTTGACAACTACTATTTTACGACTAAAGTTATATACATCTAAAATTGAACCAGCTTGCACAAAATCCTGGGTCCTTCACTGTATGTACTACTTGATAAAATGCAACTTCATGACTTACAAGTTACATCACATGGCATTTCAGAAACTCTTCGGTGGAGAAGAAAGTCCTAAAAGCTTCCTAGCTAGCGTTTGACTATAGATTTCCAAATGTGTTTTGAAAAATTTGATTTGGGTGAAGTTTGGTTTGAAGATGAAAATGTGTTTGGACATACGTTTTCAAAATATATTTCTCAACTTTATTTTGGAAAAACATATATATAATTCCCAAGTTTTGAGATTTTGGCTCAAAATCAGCAATTGGGGTGATTTTGGGATTTAGGGTTTGGGATTTGAGATTTTGCATGGGCAAAATTTATGGCCATACATGAGTTTGCCAAATAAATTTTAAATTTATTTTGGCAAAATTCATGGCCAAACGGATCCTTAAATTTTCGTCGACTTAACAATCAGCCAAACATAATTTTTTAATTAGACTTAATGTAATCAAGATGTAGCTTATAAATTAGAAAAAAAAGACCAACGTGTAATCGGAAAAAACTGTCATAGTCCTGACTTAAAAAAGAAACTTCTCTTGAAAATTGAATACAACATAAAGTAGGGACCTAAAGATATGTCACTAGTAAGCATCCCTAGTTGAAGGACCTAACATCATATGCGGATGCAGTGTTACGATATTGAGTTTATTTGAAATTATTACTTTTAATACGGAATATAATTTAAAAGTTTAATTCATAAAATCTAAAAATATAATTGTTTAATGCTAATTAAAATTATTAAAAATTGAACCAATAAAATTCAAATCTTAAATTCGCCAGGTAGTTAAGTTCAACGATGTTTTTTTTCTCATCGTGGGACACAGATTTTAATACAGTAGCATGGGATTTGCATTATTGGAAGATAACTCACAGCAAACCAATTCATCCAAAAGAGGATGAAACGTGTGTGTAAAAGCAACAACTATTTGCTAGGATATCAGAGGTAGATTTATAATTTGAAGTTTATTCGGGAATCTAATATATTTAATTTACTGGATTTTAATTAAAAAAATTATATATATTTTATGAATTTCTTAAAACAAATACATATTTTAAACAAAAGTTACTGATTTCGGCCATACCCGAACGTCTTGTTCTAGCCCCGCCCCAACAGGATATAACAGTATATATTGCTTAAGAGGCAAAGAGATTAATCAGGTAAAAAAAGTTTTGGGTAGAAGATGATTCCTACAGGTTTACAAAGGGATAAGCTAAAGAAATTAAAGACACTAGACATTGATGATTCATATGGAGCTTTGGCAGGACTAATGAAGCGATATAAACAGTAAGAATTTATATAGCCGACCTTAACTTATTTGAAGCTGAAGCGTCATGCCATTGTTGTCCGTCTA